GAGCGCGTTGCTCCGCCTAGAAAACTTGGCCGCGCGCGTGCAGTACCGGTTTTTTTTGCGGCTGCAAAGTGCATAAGTTTCGATCGCGATAATCATCAGCGACATTAATAAAGCCGGTAATTCGATGCCTGCACGCGAAATAGAGACGAGCGAGCTCGCGAGCCGGATAACAGACAGAGAAAGGATCGCTGCCGCGGCCGTTTGCATATTGATGATGATTTTCCGCTGTTGATTAGCGCGAAATTGATAGGCCGATCGCTTCGCGCTCTATCAACGGATATTTATATGTCTCAAAATGTGCACTCAGCTGTATCATTCGAAACCGCAATTCCAATGGAGTTATGTAGCTTGAGTTGCTTGTTGTCTTTTGCAGGCGTTGTTCAAATCATCAATTGTCACATTTCTAGTCCGTGCCACATATGTCGAACGACAAATGTCGTTTCGTCCTTTCAATCTGAATAAAATTGGAGTTTCGTCATTTTATTACGAATATTCGCGATAGATGGAGTGTTCGGAGAGGGAGAGCTATGCATAAATCGGCTGCGACTGTTACAATACTCAAAATGTCCCGACTTCAAGATACAATTCTATACATTTTATTGTCAACGATATAATTTTGATTGAGGGTATTTATTTTATTCGTTTAATTTTTTTATCAAATCACGGATATACAAGTCAGTTGTAGTTTCTAATACCTATAGCACAATTTGTCTATTATCGCATCCCACTGGATTGATTATCGACTATGGTATACTCTCTCGGAATATTCATATCCATCACGAGGCCGATCGAATGCAGCGTGCAGCCGTTTGCATCGTTAATGATTACATCAGCCGATTTCGACCAGACCTTTCTGTCCTGTTCAGCCATAATCTTTATGACTTGACGAGCCTGTCACGAATGTAGAAGAAGGGTTCACGCGACAACGCCCATCTACCTTCGAGCGGCAGCTTCTTTGAACAACATGGCACTGGTTAAACCGTCAATTAGACGACAAACTTGTTATTTGGCGATGAAACCAAAGCAGCCACTTGTGGTAGCGTACAGCAAGCATCCGCATTGGATAGTTAATACAAATGGACATGCAAAGCGAGCTCGAAAAACAAAACACAGGAACAAACGCGGCGATATCGTTTTTATGGGAGCGGCGACGGCGGCGAGTGAAAGGAAAGACTCGGAGTTCGATAGCGCTTTTCCGCGCTTACACGGCGCGGCCTTTTTTTTCGCCGAAGAGAGCAGCGGCTTTCGCGTTTCCTTTTCGTTCTCTTGGCGCAGCGCCGTATACGCGGAGTGCGCGCGCGTTTATGCATCTCTCGGCGCCTCGCGTTAGGCCTGAAATTGTCGACAGCGCGCCATTCTCACATTGCCCCGCCCGTCGCGGCAAATTGGAATGAATTAGCGCGAAAAAAAAAAAAAAAAAGAAGCAAAACGAGTCGCCGGTGGTGTAGGACGGCCGCGTTAATATAAAATTTCATTCGTTCGCGTGCATCATCGTCATACGCGCGTGCGCGGCGTGAGAAAGGCGCCTTCGTTGAAGCCTCTGTACATTGCACCCCGGCTAATTTAATTAGTGCCCTACGCTTCGATGGATTTCGAGCGAGTCTTATCTCGCGTTTGGTTTACATGCGCCTTGCTAATCCTTTTTTTCTTTTTGAAGCAATTGCCGCTGAGCGAGATACGCTCGTTTCTTTTCCGCAAACTTTTGGAGATAATTAATGCCAATGATTATTGTCCCAAATGAAACTGTTTATCCGTGCCCGCCAAACAATTCTCTCTGCCAAGAGAGAGAGCATCGTTTTAAATAATTAATTAATCAAGAGCTGGACGCTCGTATATGTAACAGTAGACGACGCCGAGGAGGATCAATTGAGAAAAAGGTCGCTGGCTCGTTTAAGAGTTACAGTCTCTCTCACGGAAAATGAGCAAAACAATTGAAAGTCAAGTTGAACGGACGAGCGAGCGACGACGACGCGTAATGTAATGATTATCGGGTCGCTCTCAATTCAGGCAATTACGCCCCTTAGAGAGCTGGGAACTCCTCTCGTAATGCCAATGCGCGCCTTCGAACTCTCCCGCCAGAGGGAGAGGGAGAGGACTTTTAAAGAGTTTAAAGGGCAGAGAGGCTGCTTTTTTTTTGGTGAAGGGTTGGAGGGACTCAAAGGGATCGCTGGCTTTTAACGACTGCTTTCCGCGCGTGAACGAGCCGTAGGCTAATTGCCCCAAGCAAGAGGTCTTTTCTTTTGGTGTAATTTCCAGTTGAAGCAATTGACGATCGACATCTTTTCTCTCGCGGACCCACCGCTAATACAATTCGGAAATGTGTAACCCGCACGACTCGCGTAAAAGTTGAATGCCAATGGCTTTCGCATTTATCCTGTGCGTCGCTCTTCCCTTGTTAAGCTCAATTGCCCCGCATTTACACAGTAAAGAAAGATCGCACACCCGAACTTTTTACGCAGTCGGATAAAATATTTTTTCGCGCATCTCTGTCTCTCTCTCTCTCTTTCGAGTTCCCACATCATCATCTGGGTTACCGTGGAAAAGTCTCACTTCCGACGTTCACTCGGACACGTATCCCTTTCAGTGCACAAACGGGCAGCTCGACGATTGTCGTGCGAGACAAGCAATAATATTTAGATTTGACAAGGCGCGAACGAACGTTTGCGTAATGTCTGCCGCTCTTCAATGCGGAAAAATGACAAATGAGCGCGCGCGCAGCACTCACTGTTTTGCAATGCACGCGCTTGAAAACGCGCTTTTGATAATGCCGTTATGCGCCCGCGAGGGGCTCCCTTCTCCATTTGTCAAGTGTCACTTAAAATTCTATGTGCATATTTTTAATTTCAATTTTTGCGCGAAAGGGAGCCGAGTGTCGGCGTTTCGAGCTCGGAACGAGGCTAGTCGTGTTAAGGCGCGCGCGCGCACGCGACTGTTGATCGGTTTGTTAATTGGCATATCGATCGTAAGCGGGAGGCCCGGCACCAACGGTCGGGTCTTCGACGACGATGAATTTCGCGGCGTCGATTCGAAGGAAACAAGGCCAATGGGAGATTGTCAGTTGTCGCGAGAGCAATGCGCCTCGTTACTCCGTGGCTTCATCCGCGCGCGTCAAATGGAAAATCGAACTGCAGCGCTCGTTTCCGCGGGCATTGAACTCTCTCGTCTGCGCGGCAAGCAACCACTTGTTGCATGCCGCGGGGGCGAGCCACGGAAGCCTTGCGCACGTCAGAAGGAAGAGGGGAGTATCGCAGTGAGCAGAGCGACACGTTTAAAAGTGAAGTCTTAATTGGCAAACGCGGCAAGAGTAAGGTGAGCGAGCAGCGGCATCGCCTAATTAATTAGTCAACGCGCGCGCGCCGAGTGGACAATCATTAATTATGGATGCTTGCCGATAACGCGCCACGTATGCTGTCGACGAGAGGAGACGGAGGGTGACAACCGACAAACAGCCAAAAAGTAGATTGATTTAATAACCGCTGGGCAAGAATAAAAAGAAGAGAGGGAGATAAGCAATTAGAACAACACAATGCGTTAGGTCCTTATGAATATATATATCCCCGGCCAAGTGCCACGCGCGCGCCTCCCTTCGAGGCTCGGGGCTAAAAGGACGAGACGCGCTCATTGTCCGCGACGTGGCGCGTTTGCCGAAAAGGGGAAGAATCCCGGGGATTAAAGCTCTCGCGCGCGACTCATCGATTTGCACGACGACCATAATCTTTTGTTTGCGAGTTTCGGCGGGAAAGATACACGGCGTTTCCATATGTCGCATGTGCCGGGCGACGCGGACAGCGCCGTTAGTTTGGATGCTATGGGATGGGGGGGGGGGGGGCATCGCGTGGCGCGTGGAGATTTGCGGATTAGGCGCGGCTGATCTTGTTGAGGCGATGATTGTTTCCGGCGCGAAGAGGCGAGCGAACCCGCGCGTCTCCCTCTCTTCCATCGTGAAGCTGGAAAGCGCCGAGCCCACGAAGCGTCCGTCCATCGTCGCACCTGCGCACCGGATCAAGTGCCGAAAGGAGAAGATACACGGGAGAAGCTGGCGGTGGCACCGGCCGAAAAGCCACCTAGAATAGGCCCACGGGCACAGCGAAAAAGCGCGCGCGCAGCTTCCACGAAGGAGAATCAAAAACCATATCCATGCCCACACGTAGTCTCTCTCCCCTTCTTTCCGTGCAGGCTACACGGCGCGGCGAGAGAAAAGTAGGGGGAAAGAGAGAGAGAGAGAGAGAGACAGAGCGCGCGTCTGGTCTGCGGCCGGGCGTGGGAAGGGGCCCCTAAGGTGGTATACTTCTCTGCGCTGCTCTCCGAGCTCCATGGGAGAGTGGGGGGCGCTCGTGTCTCTTTAGCCTGGCGACTGGTTTAGTTAGTCGTCAGCCGTGGCACGCAACCGACCACCTAACTTGCCGCAGCGCGCGCATTTTTTTTTTCGTTGTCCGTGTGCACTTTTTTTGTTGTTTCTCTCCATCTTTTCTTTTGAAGTCGCGCGCGCGCGCGTGCTCGCTCGATCGATAATCGCGCGCGGGACAATTCACTTGCTCGCCGGCTGGCTAATCGAGAAAGAAGCATCGCCGACGAGCTATAAGAGTGACATGAGCTGGCCCAATGTGGAGGTACGGCGGAGCAAGTCCGTACCATCCGCCGCGGCGGCCACTGCCGTGCCGTAACACGGGATAGAGAGAGAGAGAGAGACGCCATTCAGCGAAGAGACGACGACTCTTCTCCTTCTTCGTCTTGTGTGTGTCGTGTGTTGTTTCTGTGTTTTCCTCTACTGCACTACACCGCCAAAACATAAATAGTTGTGATATTTGATTTCGATACTACGAGGAAGTGTGCAATAGGGGGTGTGACACGTGCAATTTGTGATACATGTACATACATATCGTTATGAATGTGTATGTTTGATTAATCGTGCTGCAATTTGGTGAAGCAAGGAGAAAGAGAAATTGTGATTGTTTCTGTGGGATACGCATTCGTGGCAAGAGTAGAATGTGCGAGAGATGCGCGAGCTGATGGTCGAGCGCTCGATGCTCGGCAAAATATGAGGAATATTGCCGGCCGCGACCACCATGACGACCACCAGCCATCTCATCTTCAAATTCGCCCTGCTCGCGCTGCTCGTCGTTGGCACAAGGTGCGACTTTCATCCCTGTTGTGCGCCGCATGCCGGCCTGACGATATCAACATTTCGATAAGAGCTAGTTAACGGTTCAACTGCTTATGCCGTTATGAAGCAGTGCCGAGCTTTTCATATGTATCGCGACCGGTTGCTCGCCTCACTGCTGACTCCGACTCTTCATTTTGGACAATCAGAGAGCAAAGAAGCGCGGCTCGCATGACGTTCGTTAAAAGGAGCGCGAGCTCGATAAAACTGCACACCAACGGCAAAACGAACGTGAAACTTGTGAGAAAGAATCGGCGCTCGTCTGTGTTTTTCGAACGGTTGTTCTTCCCTTTTTTTCAACAACAACCAGATAACCAGATCGCCGTCGCGTTTAAATACGACGGCAAGGAAAGCCGATACCTGCATTCGGATTGCAAGAGATAGTCGGACGTTAATATTGTATAAAATCGTCTCCGGTCACTCTCGTGTGCTCGCAGAATCGACGTCTAATTATAATACATATATTTTTTTTTTGCTTTCCACATCGTTTTTACGACTTATAATTTCTCAGTGGTTTATGAATATTTCGTGCCAGCGAGAGTAGAATTTAAAAAAAAATTATGACTCGGGCTTTTTTGGCCGCTTTTATTTTATATGCAAATCGGCGGCTCGTAAATTTCATCAGGCGAATAGGAAACCGGTATGCATGGAATAGGAGAGGCAAAAGCCGAATTTTTATACGGGCATTTCTTTTAAATCTTTTTGCTGCGTTGTTGTTAATGGCTTTGTGCCCGTGTGATTTATTTACAGGTGTATGTGCAACAGCGGGTACACGGGGCAGAACTGCGAGAGCGAGTATATTCCGTGCGACCCGTCGCCATGTCAAAACGGCGGTGCCTGCCGTCAGATCGACAACCTTACCTACAAGTGCACATGTCCAGAGGGTAAGAGTCTCGGCAACGAGTTTAATTACTTTGCAATTCAAGATCTGCGTTTTTGCTTTAGCCGTCTGCGACAAGTTGCTTTCTCGATCGCTTTAGGCGCAACGACAAGTAGCCTAACGTGATATTGATAATCGACTGAAAACCGCGTAAACGTTAAAAGCGACACCCCAGTCGTTGATTGCACCCACTCCCTCTCAAGGGAAAAAACAAGTATTTTCGGCGGATGTCCTTAAAACCCAACTCGCGCGGCCACATAGAATGTCGCGACAGCAAAACAAACCTCTTGAAGGCCACATTCTTTCCCACAAGTAGCTGTATATAGCGATTCGCCTGAAAAGCCCGAGGCGCCCTAAAGCAATTTTGTTCGACCCTTATATTGACAAACACGAAATCTCCGTGGAAACAGCGAAATACTTAACGGAAGATAGACATTCTCACGCGTTGTCATAATTCGTCGCGAATTAAGGTGGTCAGTCTGTTGAGACGCGAAATCAAAGAAACTAGAAGCCCCCTAAACGATGGGAAAAATCAGTGCTTAGCAGCCGTGAAAGAAGGTAGGAGGGAGTACGAGGTAGATACAACACAACGTCTTGGGAAAAGTCAGCGGTGTGCGTCGTCTCTCTCAATTACACCTTAAAGGCGTTCCTGTTTTTATATTATGTAGGTATGTAGTGTTTTCTTGGCCCTTCCATATCGGACCTCATTAGATAAGTTTGCGATTTCCTCATTCCCGAGGCTTTTGGTTCGGGTGAGATTCTTATCCGACAATGGGACGTTCGCAGAAGATTCGTTGCCAAGACTTTCGCTCGATCAGTTCGACTGGACTATGCACGACCGGCGTCGTATAGACCTCGGCTTTTTTCCAACTAGAACACTCCGTTCAGAAGCAAGCAATTAACGAAAATTTCAAGCCAATGCATCTTTAATGACGCGCGCTCTCTCGGCAAATTACAGCAGCAAAAAAGCTCGCGAGGAATAATACTCTAATACAATTATCATAACGACGCCTCGACCGAATCATTAGCGCGCTAAAGTAAGAGCGAAATATCGCGAATGCAGCGCCCGTAAAAGAAAGAGGAGGGAGGGGGGTCAGCAAAGCGTGGCCTCCTTGGAAATCACAATGCGTATAGGTCTCTCGGTGCACCTTTTTCCCAGGCGGACCACGGCACCGTGGCGACCCCACCTACGCTCTTTCTTCCTTATTTTCCTTCGAACGAGAGAGAGAGAGAGAGAGAGAGAGAGAGAGAGAGAGAGAGAGAGAGAGAGAGTGGGGGGTGGTCGTCTTCGAGATACGTCGTACACACGCTGGCTGGTTTCGCTTTTATTTTTTTCCCTTTTCTTTTCTGTCTCCACATTGTTTCGGGTTAACGAGCATATCTTCGATTCCCTCTCTACGAGCGCGGATCTTCGAAAAGCGGGGCTAACGGGGACTAGGCGAGTAGGCAGCGGCAGCGGCAGCGGCAGCGGCCTCGAGTGGCTCGTCGAGGAGTTCGCTCAAGTGGCCGGCTACCGGTCTTGCCTCGGCAGTGCGCGGCGACGCGCGCGAACGACGAGCAAAGCCATTATTCGCCGATAGTCCGCCAACAATGAGCGAGCGCCTTATCGAAAGCGGCGAGAGTCGTTTGTCTCCCCCGCCTCGCGCATAATAAATCCTCTCCGCGGCGGCGCGAATTAATTGGTCCGCGACGAGCAGCGAGATAAGACGTCTTCTGCTCGGCTCGGTCGCGATAAGGGGGAGCTCGCGCCGGCAAGGGCGTCCTCCTCGGGCGCAAGCCGAGGCAGGATCGCCGGCATATTTTTGCGCGCGGGCATTTTAATGAGCGCGCGCGCGCGAGAGATCGCCGATCCCGATATCCTAGATTTTCATTTCGGCGCGCTGATCCCCGGCGTCCTTTGTGCGCGCGAGCACAATGCGATCGATCCGCGGCGTTGCGCTTATCCACTGTTCGCTCGCGCGCGCTCCCAACAATGCTCGCGTCTGCGCCGAAAGTGAAGTCCGGTAGAAAGGCCAGCGCCGTTTGCCTCTTGCGCCTTTGTCTATGAAAAGCTTGTAGCTCGCCACAATCGAAAGGCGACCGTTGCCCTCCTCCTCCGCAGATGCAGCGGCCATTAGCATAGTCGAGCTCTCGCGGGAGAGAGAGAGAGAGAGAGAGAAATTGGAATTCCCGTCTTTCTCCGCGGCGCGCGCGTGCGCGGTTAAAATTGCATCGAACACCTGGGGCACGCGGAGTGCAGAAACTCAATTTTTAGCTCGATCGCGCGTACAGGACATCGAGAAAAGCCACCGTTGCTTATTTTCTTGTTGTTTAGAAAAACTCATTACGAGAGAGAGAGAGAGTACAGCTTCCTGTACTTGCGCTTGCGCTGATTTATAACGGCCGCGCGCTGCAGGCTGCGCGAGCATAAAGTGCGTAGCACGGGTAACAGGGGAGTAGCAACGCTGCCGCTCGACGTTGATACTAAAAAGTCGCCTCTAGCTAATACTTCTCTTTACGTGTTCTTGTCGGCACAGCGCCGCCGTTGCGCTCCCCTGTGAGAGTCGCTCGCTTCTCAGAATTCTTCGTCTCGAGCCGCTTGTTGATCACTTTGTCGAAGATCCTGTCGCCGGGCCTTTTCGGCGCAAGAATTTTGAAATGCTCGTCTCGTTGCGCGCTCGTGCGTCGTACGCTCGCCAGGTGTTCGGGACGTGGCCGAGCGAAAATATTCGCCGACTTACTTATGCGATGCGTACGTATCAAAGTGCAGCTCCCCACAGCGACAGAGCTAGTTCAATCAGAAAAATGCGAAATACATTCGGCCGACCGCGTCGGGCGTACGCGCGCGAGTCACCGGCGGCGCGCGCATAAAAAGAATCGCGCGAGCCACCTCGTCGCATATGTTTTTCAATCAAAGGCTCATCCCGCCATACGGCATGCCGCAAGCGATCTCTTTTTAACGCGCGCGCACGTACGCGCGTTATCCGAGGGAGTCGACCCCCTCCCCTTCCGCGTTCGCTCGACCCTTCTACGCGCCGGCAGATCCCCTTCCGATAAATTTTAAACGTCTGCGCGCCACTTACAGAGCTGGGAACGACGCGACGCCTCGTCGGCAGGTCAGCTGTTTATCGATTGTTCCTTGGTCGAGGGAAGGTCGCGCGCCTGTGACGCTGTCGAGTGCGAACGGTGTCGTCGCGCCGCGCCGCCGTGGAGAGGAGGAGCGCGCGCCTCGTTTTTTCCGACGTCTCGCTAATGGATAATTTTAACGTTTGGTCGTTCCACCGTGGTTGGTCGTGATCGTGCGCGTGCCAATGATAATTTATCAGCAGTCGACGCGTCGCATAATATTACTGCCACCGGACAGGCAGTAGGAAAAACAGGAGTACGTGGCCGACGGATAGCAGCGCTGTCGAGTCACGCGGAACGAGGCAAGAGAGAGACCGTTGAATGCGCGCGGACGAGGGCCTAATTTACAAATACCGAGCGTGGTGCCGCGCGTCATCCGCGCGCGCTTTCGCACAACGCGAGAGGAAAAACGGCCGAACGGAAAAATGTGCACGCGCGAAAATGACCCTTCGGTAGGCTTCGACGCGAAAAAAAAAAAAAAAAAAAAAAAACAAGAAAGAAAAGGAAAAGAAACGAAGGGAACGAGCGCAGTATTAACGTGTGCCCTGCGCGCAGGTCAACGCGGCGGAGGTTATTTCGCGAGGCCGGCCGGCTACCGGGGCAGTATAATGACTATTTAATCGAGGCAGCGCGTCGGCCTGCATTTTTTCTCATACTGCCCTTGTACATTTTGTTATCGGCTCGCGCTCTTGTTGCAAATTGAGCGTGACGCATAAACAAAAAGCCCAACACAATGGTCTCTAGCGTCACCCTCTCGCCCCCCTTACGTAATTAATACAGGGTCACTCGCGTGCGCGCGAGCGATCTTTTCAGAAGGCGCTCTTCGTCTTGGAGCGATCTGCCGAACGCAACTGTACAAAGGGATACTCTTCTCTTTGGCGGGTAGGGGGACGCGGGCGAGAGTTTGTCGCGGACTTTAGGCCAGTGATCGCCTCTGCGTGGGCTCGCGAGCTCGCGGATTGATACGCGGCTAGCAGGAGCAACGTGGAAGTCGCTGCGCGCGCAAGCACGGCGCAAGCGCGCCGCAGTTTATGATATTGCGAGTACAGGAGGCATATTGCGCGCACTTTCAAATGTCCGCTTGGCGAGAGGTATGCGACGACGCGTCGGCGCGCTTTCGTTTTCAGCGCTCGCAGCTTGCGCATTGCCGAGCCTGTCGCGCTGGTGCAGCCCAACGGATACCCGCTCCGAGCGCGTCTCGCATCGTTCTCGCAATCGATCGCAACAGCTATGGCAAGAGGCCCGGTTCGATTCCCGGTTTACGTACCCATCGCGATCTCAATATTCATCCGTTGCAGTCGAGCGCACGCGAGCGCTATAGCCTCGAGCTTCGGCCGAACAATCGCCATTACGGCCAGACATATAGGAAGCATAAAGATACCTCGATTACCAACCGCCGTGCATACGAGAGCAACAAGCAGACCATTATGCTTGGATCCATTTCAAACGGCCCATCAAATCTGTGATAAGAGATTCGCCTAACAAACAAATTTTCAATAATGCGCTTACGCCTAACGGACCCGCGCGGTTCCCCTCCCCCGTCTGAAAACAATAGACCTTGCATCTCTCGTATAATAGAAAGGACCACACCCCGCGTGCTTTGTCGCCGCGTGTCTTGGGAAAGCGCTGTAACCTCGAAACAACACGAAGCTCTGCCGATTCGCTGCTTGAATAATTAAATAGGAGCAAATAAGAAACGAGTACACACGGGCGAAAGATGACGATTAAGATTAGAACGAGGATGATAGTGACTCGTCGGATTCCTTCGTCGGATTATGCCACACTTTTTTTCTCACAGGCGCGCGCGCGAAACAGGTAGCGCGGGCTACAACGTAGCCGGACGAGCGAGTTTGGCGTAGCGGCGCCACCTCGCGAGTTCACTTGGGAAGACTTGCCTCG